TCACTGCAAGCCACACTACACGAGATCTTGGCCAAACGCAACGTCAGACTGTGTGATTTCAGTTAAGCTGCACATCAGATTATACTTTAAAAATTTTCTGATGACAGATTTACAATGCTAGAAAATGACATTGTGCATGCGCTTTTTTGCTGAAAAACAGGAATATGTAAGCGAAAAAAAATGTGCATAGTGGCGTTGCTTTTTCTAAAAAACAAAAAACAAGTTTTAAGATGGAGAGGTTGGAGCTGTTCTTGACTGTGGGAGAAGGGCTACATGGAATGCTCATTCTCCAAAGCAAACTTAGGTAGTAGGCTAATATTTCAGCCCACTATGTGGTTAACTAGGTCTGCTATTTCACTGCAAGTCACTCAATATGTGTATGTTTCGTTCTTAATTTGCAATTTTTGTCTGCAACATCATGTCGACTATTTCACAATATAAACCTGCCTTATGTTATGAAGAGAGGCCTCGCTGCCTCAGGACTCTATGAAAATATCTGCTAGAAAAATCAGACACAGTGCACAAGGTAAAATGAATAAAACTAGTAACAACCCTCATACAACTCCGTCTGAATCAGACATCAACATGAATAATCTTCACAAAGAGAATGCAGTGATTTCTTTCCCTCTTCACTCCTCTTGTTTGGATGTTACTGCCAGACACTTCAAATGTCAAACAAGAAAGACAGAGACAACATACACGCAGGGCTTAATTCCTGCCAGTGGAAAAAAGAAAGAGCGGCGTAACTCTCATAGTTGTTCCTCAGAACGTGCACTTCTGACATGGGGAGTTTAGCAAAGCTCCACTGCTGCTTAAATGAATCTTCCATAGTTAATTCCAGACAAAGGAATTACAAGGGGGGCTGAAACCCTCCTGGAAGGGCGCCGCAGGTTAAAGCTAGACAGCTTTGGAGCCACGCTTGTTTTGTAGCTCCCAGAAAGAGATCAAAGGGAAGAAAAAGAGGCTCTGGTAGGGTGGCAGGGCTTGATAATACAGAAAAGAACTGTAAAATTCCATTATATTACATCGATATAAAATACTTCTGGCTTTTTCTTTTCTAAGACTAACTAGGAAATTACACAATGGTCACAATACCGTCACTACACTGGACATGACACTTTTGACAAAATACTGCACACTAATATAATACACTTATTAAGGGTATATATCCTATATTGTTCTTGTACTTTATTTCTTCCCTTCAAGTCCACTGGTTTTATCAAGCAAAAATGGTCTATTAAACCATTTTCTGACATTTTCCAACCTCTCTGTATCTCTCTAAGATTGATATAAGATATATGAGCCCCTGTTCTGACTGGCTGTCCTGTATTGCGCCTCATTCAAAAGCACTCAGAGCTGAAACACTCCTTAGAACTTCAGTGTGAATGGGCAGAGCTAAACTACCGTAGGCTGAATAGAAGGATACATGTAAATGAGTTGGTTCTCATGACATCACAGGAACAATGGATTCAAAACGAGCTTAGATTCCATATAAGGCAGGTACGGACTGAATAGTGAATGAAACTTTGAAATAGTTTACATTTTCCTTCAAACTGCTATGTTTAAAAAGTGTGAGGCAAACTTGGTTTAGGTTTACAAAAATACAGACAATTTAACACTAGGTAGCTCTTATATTCTGTCTGGTCCCACATCACCTGGGCTGTAGTTACGTTCTTGGCAGTCTTTATCACGAAAGTGGAGAAAATACCTTCCCAATATTAATCAGAAAGGCATTTATGAAATACTAAAGCAACAAGTTGGTATTGATGTTTTCAGAGTTCAAAGCAAGTTATTAAGTATCTACATCAAAGAAGCCTACTCTCTCAAGTAGATAAACCTAAATGGAAAGAAACATTTGTACAATGTGTAACTTCTTATATGTTAGAGATCATAACAATTAGCTTTCTAAACTGTGAGAAAATTGTATCAAAACACAGCAGGCTCATTTTTTACACAGTAAACTGCAAATGGGCACACTGAAAATTGCCAGTGATTGTTCCCTTCAAGGCTTTTAAATTCCCAGAAGACTCTCCACCCACCTTTTCCTGTGCAGAGCATTTTGGAAGGCCTTTTAGGGTTTAATATCAAACATTTAATTATGTGTGATGGGCATTCCTGTTCTTTTTCTTCCACATGCCTGCTGACATTTTCATAAAAAAAAGGTTTTTGATCAAATATCCAACCTTAATTTAGCCAATTAATTTACTCCAAAAGCAGAAGAGGCGCCCCCCCATCAGACTGTCTAATCTCTTCATCCCATGTTGTTTTTTAAAACTCAAAGGCAATTAACAAGGCAAAGTTAGATTACACCGAAATTAATCCCTTAAGCCATTAAAAAGGTCTCCCTCCAGAAGATGCACAGAAATTAGCTCATACGCTTCTGCAAAGAGGAACAGATGAATAAGCCAAATGATTTGGTTTTTATTTCTATTCATGTTGACTTACAGTGTGCTCGTCTAGCAGCTTTTCAAATTCAATTCCCCGCTCACAGATTGAAATGGTGACTGGAAATCCAGTAATGTTCAGTCATGGTTATGAGACAGATCAGGCCTGTCTCGAAGCAAAGGCAATTCCGAGGTTAAAAACAGATTCTTCATTCTAGCACAATACACCCAAGAATATATAATTGCAAAAAAGACAGTTATTTTATAAAACAACAGCTTGACTGAACCTCAGTGTAAACTGGGCTTTTGAGACCTGTGGTAATCACCCATAGTACACTTTTCAGATGGTGCAAAGACAGCAAAGCTCTAAGGCATTTAATAACAATAAAGTCAAGGTAGAAAACAATTCCTATACCCATGCACAACATTATATGCCTACAACAGAAAATGTAAAGTCAAAAATAAAACATTCCACAAAAGCACTGCACCACTTATTACTGTACTATTACTACATGGTCCTTATTATTATATTACTATATTTTTACTACTCTATTTGTGCAGCCTCACTAACAAGCACTGAGTTCTACATTTCTAAACCAATCAAATGCTTCATAAAGGCAGAGCTTAAAATAAGTGTGATGGAGCGCTTCTCAGCAACATCATGAATTAACAGAAAACATTTTGCATTTGAGGGGAAAACAGTCCGTTAAACCAGACCATACGATACTTTTAAAAGTCATCACTTGTTGGACAAAAAAAATAAGAATTGATCAGTATTCCTTAAATGTTCATTTTAAATATAGAATGTTAGCTATAATACTGTTTCACTAGCTAGCAATATGTTATTTTGCTTTTGTTGTTGACCATACTCTGAATGTTAACATTGCACAGAATAAAAGAATGTTAGAAGGAAAGCCTGTAGGTGTGGCCTAATTAGCAGCAAATTTCATCATAATCCAACACCAAATTTTTAACATGTCCAGAGTTGTTTATTCTTGCTAGGCTATCACATCTAGCCTGTGATAACAGAGAAATTTTAGTCTATAAACATAACATACTGTACTCTTCTCTGATCTTGAACAGAATCACTGGTGACAGAGTTTTTGAAACACTAGCGTGAAAAGTACTGCAGGTGACTCTGTCCCTCAACGGTGATCAATAGCTGACTAACATTCAAATCTCTTGACTTTTTTTTCCTACGTTTCACTGACTACTACAACAGCCTACATTTAAAATACACTGCAGTTGCTCTCCAATTTTTTTCCCATAGTAGGCCTATTTCAAATACAGTCATTTGGCTCTGGTTAGTTCATACAATGAGTACATCATGCCTATGAAATGTATCCTAATTTGAGCTTTAAAAGTCCTCTCTGCATCAAATGCAGAAAGAACTGTTCCCTGCTTTAAATGCATGTGGCTATACAAATGGCTGCCCCTCTCCCAGCAGCTGCCATACCATGGCAGGGGGTCTGGCACATTGAAAAGGTTAATAGGATCATTTGCGCCTAATGTGTGCCGGTGTGATGGAAACCACAATGCTGCAAAACAAAGCCTTTACAACCATCTGATTCCTGGCACATCTCCACCTCACACTACCTGACCGCACATTCGCTCCTTTAAAGCCATAATGACTGTCTGGAGAAAGGGGGAAAAATCAGAAATATGAGAGCACAAAGAAAGAGCACTTACATTATACACAACCAACAGCTCACTGACAATAAACCCTCTATGGCTGTCAAATACATCCGAAAAATAAATCTGCAGTACTAAGGAATGTCAGTTCAGCTCAAATGAAGCAGCAGGCCTCCTTCACAGAGCCCTGTTAGTGAGTGGTTTTGCATGCGGGCTGTGAAATAATTCAGAACACCCAAACAGTGAAAAGCATGCATAAGGAATGACCAGTCAAATTCAATGTAATAAGTACATGCAATAAAGCCAACAAATGATAAGAATGGAAAAGATTTATAAGACAGTCTTATGGATATGTGCACTACACTTTCAGCAAAATGGGTTCTTTGGCTTGTAACAATAGTGGAACCCTTTTGGTGCTATATAGAACCATCTACAGCCATCTAACCATTCTCCATCAATCTGAAGAACCTTTTCATGATACAAAGAAGCCTTTAATCATGCAAAAGGCTCTTTGAGTGTTCATGGTTCTATACAGAACCGTTTTCTTTACTAAAGAACGCTTGAAGAACCATCTTTTCTAAGAGTGCATGCTGCTTCTTCCGCACGTGTTGCCTTTCAGGCGCCAAATTCAGCTTCGCCTGCGCTGAAAAATGTCTTCACAGAGCTGTTCTGTAAAACTCTACCACCACAGACTGTTCTAACCAACAGTGCCCCAGTCTCTGGACATTTACTCCCAGATCAATGTTAACACACTCAGCTCCTCTCAGCCTCCACTTACTGACCACTCTGAGCGAGACTTCTCAATGTTACCCGATTTGTAGCGTTACATGTTGGTGTGGTTTTCGGGCCAGCGACTGGCCCACTTATTATCTCGGATTAAAGCGCTTTAATTAGCCCACTGGGTGGCTGAAATACCGAAAATTACGGTAATTTCCACAGAAAGGGTCACAGAGCAGGAAACGGATTTAACAGTGTCCGACTCACCCGTATCCGTCTCATGGCAGCCACTATCTCCACACGGCTGTTGGGTCGCGCCACATCCAGACTACCAATGTACTGAGGAGGAAAACGACAAACCACACATTATACAGCTATTCAGCGCTCCTTTCACATCGAGACGAGGCTCGAGTTGGTTTACTTTTCGCCAGCTTCTTGTTCGAATTTCCCGTTCCACCTTAAATAGTGCAGCAGTTGTCACTATAATGCCCGAGGCACCAGAATGTAACTGCTGCACCATTTAAGGTGGAACGGGAAAATTCGAATAAGTAGCTGACTTCAGCCTTGTAACATAGAGCTCAGCTCATTGTACAGTAAACACGATATTTAAACGTATCTTTTTTCTACACAAACAGCCTGTGTGTGGGTAAACAAGTGGAGCTCCCACTTCCCGGATCCCATATAGTTATTTGTTTTGAACAGGTAAGTTAGCTCAGTCACGGTCCAACTGGGCTACTTCATAAACTCAACACGAGCCTCTGGTGTAGTCTAGTCCTAATGGCCCGCCCAGTAACTTATAGGTCTGTTAAAACAGACCGGGGTCAAAGAAACCTGAGGAACGTGAGGAAACACTCACCTTTGCCTCGAAATTAATGCCATGCTGGAAGGCTTCCTCGTTATGCATAGGAATCCGCAGGTCGTGCCCGTCGTCCACTAAATTGTACTTGGTTTTCGCCGGCATGTCTGCGGCTCTTTCAGCTCTTACAGTCAACACGCCAATAAAAACAAACAGAAAAGACGAAAAGAAAGACAGAGACTCGACGCGGAAAACTCGGTTCAGCTCCGACGGTCCATGTCGCTTCTCCACAGCTCGCAGCTCAACTTTCGAACAGCAAAATCTCTCTCCTCAAAAAGTCAAGCTGCTCTCAGCCTCTCACGGCTCCTCGGTCATTTCCCGTTTATACTAAAAATACCGCTTTCCACTGACGAGCGCGACTTTTCCGCTGTTGAGTTCCTCGCTAACCTGCCGAGCTTAAATGAGAGCAGCGATAATGTCCTGCTTCCTGGCGTCGTCCATGCCCAACAACTTCACGCCAGCGCCATAACCGAAAGCCACACATCCCTTTATGCAGGCACTGCTCGCACGGCGTTATTTTTTTCCCCACCCGTTTTCCGACGAGCCCGCCTTTCCTCCCTACTATTGGTTAATAGTTTGCATAGCCGATAGGCAGAATGCGTGTGAGTGTGAATCGTAGCGCAGGAGATTGTATCGTACTAGCCAATCATATCACAAGAGGGCGGGGCTTGTGTCAGTACAGGTGGGAAAAAATAAAGGGAAAGGAAAGCGTCAGCGGCGGAGTGGGGGAAATTCCACCTGCTTTCGCTGGAGCACAGCTTTGTGTGGGAGGAGGAGGAAAGAGAGAAACGCGCCGTGTCTGTGAAGCTCCTGATCGGTGTAGGCGAGCTGCGAATGGCACCTAGTGGTAAGATACAAAACCTCACTGGTGTCGGTGCGCCTGTAAGACTGAACTGTAGCGCCGACTCCCAAGGCTGGCATGTGGAAACTCATTCACGAAAATAAAACCCGGGTTTGTAGACTCACTCGTTCTACATGCGAGTGACAATTGTAGTTTTGTGTGATTTTCAGTCAGCATTTACTTAATTTTACAGCTTCATTGCAGCGTTCACCACTTTAAAAAGAGACGCTGCTTTCACACAAGTTGTGGTGGTTTATTTTCCGGCTGTTGTCGGCCACAGCCACACCGTACATCATATGCAGAGTTTCTCTCTAACAGCTCACTCTCTAACCAGCTCTCTGTCTTTCTCTCTTGCTATTCACTCACACACACACACACACACACACACACACTTTAGGGGTGATTCATAGTCCCACCCTCTACAACCCAAACATAAGGCCCGTAGGCCAAGTCAGGCCTGTGACACAATCCAATTTGGCCCACAAAATTATTTTAAATTTCTATTAATTTTAGCCTGTTTCACCCTCAGCTGCACTACAGTCCCTTATGACCCCCTTCCCCCTGCAGCAATCTCTGGGCCAGTGTTTACAGAAAAAGAAAAGGTTCCTGGTGTCTAGTTTAAGCAAACAGGCAGTTTAAAAAAACTACCTTATGGGAACTTTTAAAGAGGTTCAACAGTTATCTGTAGCTAATGAAGCCTATTGTTTTGTATGAAGCAATTTGTTTTTATTTAACATTATTTGGGAGTAGTTTAAGTATTCAGTGCCTGTGTTGCTGTTGCAGTTTTTGCATATTTTGAATAAACAATGGCCCATTGAAGTAATGGCAAATCATTAAGTAAAAAGTAAATAAAAACACAGCTGCCCCACAGATTTATTGAGATTTTTTATATGGCCTTTTTAGTGGTTGAGTTTGACACCTCTGCACTATAATAAGAGTTCATAGCAATGACAATCTTAACCTGTTTTTTGGGAAAATAGAATTTTTTTTAAGAATGTTGGACTGCACGCTGACAAGAGGGGAGGCAAATCTCTGACAGAGAAGCTCATTTTCTCCATGTGCAACCTATCCACCCCCATTGGTGGAGACACATCAGCGATAAAATCCAATGACTCTGTCATCACTCCAGAGTCACAACATCCTCCCCCTACTGAGAATGCCCTGATGGAGCTGCACCTTTCGGATGAGAGCCACAATGATGTTCAATCGTATCAGCAGCTGGAGACATCAAAACCACACAAGCAATCCACACCATCTTCCATCTCCACTGCCTCCTAACCCTATCTGAACCTCCCACCAATTATAGAGAAGCTGGCTTCAGCTGGGATGAGGCTGTCGCCTTCTCTATCAGCCAGCCCTCAGGTTCAGAGTAAAATTAGCCCAGTTTCTCCTCCACCATCAACTACTGCCTCAGAGACCCAACAACCCTCCTCCACCCTCATCACAATCACCAATCAAGAAGTTAGGTAAAGCTGCCACACTGAAGCTCAGCCAAATTGATGAACTATTAAACAGAGCTCACCCAGCACCTGTAGCACCTCAAAGAAAGAGACAAGCTCCCCAGCCAACAGAAAGGCAGCTTTGCTCTCTTCCTCATCATCAGCAGAAGCTTCACCCACCCTCCTCTGCTGAAAGGGAAGAGGTCACACCTTTTTCAAATAATCCAGCAAATTGATATTTTTCGGGTCCGTGCTGCTATAGTGATGTTGTCAGCAGTACGTTTTCAAAACAAGTTCGGACGCTGTGTACCAGAAATCTTTCCCAATCTAGTACTTATCAGAAACAGAAAGAACAGGGAGTACGTGTCAGATAATGTGAGTAAATCCAATCTGTAGTAAGTAAAATGTAAGTCACAGCTTCTGGAGCAAAGTGCAAGGGTTATTAAGTTAGCTCTTATCAATATTAGATCTCTCACAAACCCTTTAAGTCCTATATGATTAATGCTTTTAGTACAGCTCATGGGCTTGATTTTATGCTTTCAACAGAAACATGGTTACATGAATGTAGTGCTGAAACTGTATTAATCGAGTCAGCTCCACCAAACTTTAATTTTATAGATTTCAAATTTTATCAATTTCAATTTTGCAGGATTCTTTCCAATGCAAGCAATTATCACTGGGTGATTTCACATCCTTTGAGTATCTTTGTGCGGTTCTGAAAGGGGCACGAAAAATATTACCACTAATTGTCTACAGGCCTCCGAAGTACAACACTAATTTTATTAACCAGTTTTCCAATATATTATCTTTTATTTCCACTTGTTTTGATCGTTTTGTTATTACTAGTGATTTTAGCATACATATTGACAATTCCAGTGACAATTATGCCAAGGAACTCTGGGCTATATTGGACTCTTTTGGACTCGCTCAGCATGTGACCCGAAGGATACACTGTCATGGTCATACTCTAGATGTGGTTATCTCAAAGGGCCTCAACATATCAGCCACTGTTAAGGATGCTTTTTCAGATCATTACTGTGTCTTCTTTGAAATGTGGACCTCACTAGACCAAAAAACCAGACACATTTGCTTTAAGAAAAAGTTCATAAATGAGAGCACAGCTACACTTTTAATGAGCAAAATGTGCTCTGCACTATGCAAACCATCTGACTCTGTTAATGCTTTGCTGGATAGCTTCAACTCAAAAATTGTCACTGTTACGGATGAGATTGCACCAGTTAAAGTTAAAACTATGTCATGCCAACAGAAAGCACCTTGGAGGAATGCCACCGCAGTTCAACTTCAAAAGACAGAATGTAGGAAAGCTGAACGCAGATGGCATAAAATCAAGCTTCAGATCCACAAAGGAATCTTCAAACACAGGCTGTGTAATTACAACACAATAATGTGCAAAGCTAGACAATCCTTTTCCCCCAGCATTATCAACAATAATATTAACAACAGCAGAATACTCTTCTCCGTGGTAGACAAACTAAGTCACCTACATATATGGCCCCTGACTTCATATCAACTGAGAAATGTAATGAGTTTGCACACATTTTAAAAACTAAAATCCATAATATCAGATGAGCCATTAATACATCTATAGTCACCAAAGAGCCAATGTTGTCTCCATCACCACATAAAGATATTATTCTTAAAATGTCCCAGTTTATTGTTATTAATAATGAGATTTTAGTCAATACGGTGAGTCACCTCAAATCCTCCACTTGTAGTCTTGATATTTTACTATCCAACTTTTTAAAGAACATGTTTTACTCAAGAGCAGCAGACATACTTCAGGTAGTAAACATCTCACTCATGTCAGGCTTTTTTGCTAACAAAAAAACTGCAGTTGTGAAGCCTCTCTTAAAAAAGAAAAATATAGAAGCAACTCTATTTAGTAAATACAGACCGATTTCAAACTGGCTTGCTGTCCTTAAATGGTTGTCTAGACAAATTTCAGTCAGGGTTTCGGCCTAATCATAGTACTGAGACAGCTCTAATTAAGTTTATTAATGACATTTGTTTAAATACAGGCTCTGGAAAACATCTATTCTACTACTGCTTCATCTCAGCACTGCCTTTGATACCACTGACCACAAAATCCCCTAAGACAGACTTGAGAACTGGGTTCTTATAGGAACTGTCCTAAAATGGTTAAGTTCATACCTGCAAGGAAGGGACTACTTTGTGGAAATAGAAAATAACGTTTCTGAGAGAGTGCCAGTGACCTGTGGTGCCCCCCGTGGTTCAATTTTTGGGCCACTCTTATTTAATTAATACATGCTGCCTCTTGGCCAAACACTACAAGACTATAGGATATCTTACCACAGCTATGCAGATGATACTTAGATCTACTTGGCCCTCTCCCCAAACATCTATGGACCCAAGAATAGCTTGATTGTTAGTGCCTTGAGTGCATCTCTAACTGGATGGGACAAAACTTTCTGCAGTTGGATAAGGATAAAACAGAGATTATTTTATTTGGGAATGAGAGGCACAGACTAGCCTCCTGTCTGGATTCAACAGCCCTAAAATCTAAAGAACTAGTATGCAACCTTGCTGTAGTAATGGACTCTGATCTTAGTTTTAGCAGTCGTGTCAAAGCAATTACTAAATCAGTATTTTATCACCTTAGAAACATCAAACATCAGAGATTTTCTGACTACACCTGACCTGGAGAAACTCATCCATGCCTTGATTTCTAGCAGGATTGATTACTATAGTTGTCTCCTAACTGGACTCCCAAAAAAGACAATCAAACACGTTCAATATGATTCATAATGTAGAGTAAAAGAGAGGAACACGTCACCCCCATTCTTAAATACTCACACTGGCTACCAGTCTGTTACAGAATAGACTTTCAGATACTATTACTGGTCTATACAGCGCTCAATGGTATAGAGCCAGCATATTTATTTGATATGCTGCAGCGTTATGAGTCGAGCAGAACTCTCAGATTATTAGGAACTGAATATGGAGAAGCAGTGTTTAGCTACTATGCTGCTCTTAAATGGAACCAGTTGACATAGAGTATTAGAAGAGCCCCAGCACTTGACACTCTTAAATCTGGGCTGAAAACGTACCTATTTGACCAGGCGCTTAGCACAGTTTAAAACATTGTTAGTTTTTCTTGCCCTTCTCCTTTGTAATGGCACTTTATTATGCTATTTTAATTTTTAATGTAATGATTTTTCTCTTTTAAATCTATTGTTTTAATCATG